CAAATGTGTTAGGATTGTTGAACTTCAGAATTGGAAACTATCACAGTATGCAATAACTGATTAAATTGGTCAATCAAAGAGTTATGAAACTGCTTTTAGCATGATCCAGATTATGGAGCCAAAAACAAGTGGTAGACTCAAGAAGGGTAGTGAGAGCACTATTGCAAAACTCCAGTCAGACCAGGGCTTATTTAACCTTTTAGCATTCAACCTACCCAAATCTGCTCCATAAATATCAGCTCTTAATGTTCAACCTGCTATAACCCGCCTGATGATATATATAATATAGTATGTCATCATCACAAACCATGCAGGACGTCATGCAAACAGTGAGACTTCGAGAGCCGATATTTATGTTGTGGGTTTGAGCATGTTGAATGCAAAAACATTAATGGTAGAAACAAGGTTCAAGTTCACAAATACCCTCCAGTGACAAAAAGATTTTCAAACATTAAAAATGATTTCCAAACATTACAGCAGAAATTTGCAAGACTTCATTAGAAATGGGATTAGGATTAGTGGTAGGTTCTTTTTACAGTTCAAAAGAAATTCAACTTGAACAATCCAGATGGCTTCCAGTATTACTGGCATGACTCACACCTTTTCAAAGTATGTTTGTAAAGTCAGTATGCTCATAATTTAGGGATGCTATAGAATATGGTGGGAAGATGGCACTCCAGTTGACAGGTGGTTAAATATAACAGGACATGCAGATAAGCTAAGGAATGTGAATTGGGTAGCTGAAGATATTTGGATCAGTGGGCCACAGTTTATCTTTTAGCTGGATAATCAGCCAATTACTATTGGGAAGAGTCATGCAATGATTTCTTCAAAAGCAAGATATAAACGTTTTGATCTGGCCATTGAGAAACCTGAATCCCAACATTACTGAAAATGTATGGGATGGTTAATAAGGAAGGCTTTTGAAGGGTAAAGTCTTTTTAATATAGTGTAGTAGCTCAAAACTGCTATTTTAGTAGCTTGGAATGAAGTGCCTGATAAATTCTGCCGTTCTTTGTTCAGTATGCCAGGTTGAATTTTCCAAGTCATTAAAAATAATGGTAGTGCCAAAATATATTAACAAAAATGGACTATTGCTGCCATATTTGGGCTGGAGTGGCTCAATCCTCATTTTCCAGTCTTAATAGAGTTCAAAATTGTTTAAGTAATCTTGTAAGGGGAAGACTTATTTTCTACTCTACACCCTCTGTCCTACAGATGCAATGTTGCAAGTCTATCATTATTTCCATTGCAAATTTTCAGATTAGCGCTCCATTCTTTAATTCCACCAGTTTAGACCTATGACACAACCATGCTACTTCTACAGACTAGAATTATCCTAGATGACTACAATCTTAACCTCTTTATGTCAAGGGTCAATCATTATCTGTCCTCATAATTTTCAATTCCTACTATCCAATTTTTTCATCCATCACAAACCTCATTCATCATAAACATTTTAACAATGACCCTCTCTGCCTTGTGTGGCTCTCAAACCTTGTATTGGGTGATCTTAATTATAGGAAAAAAAAATTTAAATAAATTTTCTACGTAAATTCCAATAAAATTTGTTTTGTGTTTCACAGAACTTGCTAGTAATTAACATATCTGATCTGAATAATTCATGTTTTTTTTTCCTTCCAAACCATTTTGCTAAGATTGGTTACTATGTATCTAACTTATGATTATGTTAAATATATGTAGGATTCATTAAAAAAAAAATAATAATAAATTAATTGGAAATGTTCATCTTAGTTTAAAGTTTTGTGGCACACTTCTTTTATGGGTTGTGCTCCTGCAGGAGTGATCATGACTCTCCACAACTTCATATATTTTTTACCTCTTCTTAAATCTACATCTACATTTTACACCACACTATCATGGAATTAGATGAGGTCCAAGATTACTGGTAGTTTCTGGACAAACATTAGCCTACCAAATACATCAACTTCATATATAAAACAGAAAAAATATTTTTAGCCATGTTTTTTTTTTTTTTTTTTTTTTTTTGGGAGTGGGGATTAAAAAAAAAAAACAGAATCTTATATACCCAGATGCATTGTTTTATTTAAAATGATATTACAAATATCATGTTATTCAGTGATCATTTTAAAGGATTTTCTGAATATATAGTTAAAAAAAAAACTCCTCTCAAATATCTGCATGTTGTAATGATATGTATTATCTTTGTATTTGAATTTAATAAACATACTCAGATATTCTTGATGCTAAGCAAACAAGTGTTTCTCTTTTATTTCAAAATATTTACTCTGTTAATATCACAGTCACTATACTTTTAATAAACAAAATTTACTGGTGGTTAAAATATACATTAGAAATATTGATTTGTTTCCAAAAATGGATGTGCAGGTAATATAGCAATTATTGGCACAGAAATTAGAATTGGCAAGCCAGGTACAAGCTCTGTCCTAGTCTGTTATGTTTACTTTGCACTAATGTCATTGGAAAAGGCATTAATCCATTTATTTTCTCCCCCAACTATGGGTTAAATAGAGTAGACTGTTCTCTAGCTTTGAATGGTAGCCAGTTGAGGACAACTCTGAATTAAAAACTATGAAGATGGCAACAGGAAACCACTCTATTTTCTTTGCCAAGAAGTCATTGCAATTTACAGATAATAAAGGAATTTGTAGAGTGTCATGATTGTCTACATCCTAGAGACATAGCATTAAAAAAAGGAAAAAATAGCCATTACCTAAAGCAGTTATTATTGTTCTTAGTTTTATTGTAATCCTGACAAATAAATTGTTAATCAAAAACCAAGTAAATGGAGCTATTTTATATTTATTTTTTAAGCTTGTTAGATTTCCTTCTTTTAGAATAATCATTTAAATTTGTTTTAGCATCAGACTTAAGAGATACACATGAAAAGACAAAAAGGAAATAAAGAAAAATTTTAAAATAAAAGATAAACTTTTAAGTGATGTTAAAAGAAAACTACAATTAGATAATTCCAAAATATCTTTAAAAATAATGAAAGGAAATTCTTACAGCCTTTCGTGTCTACAATGATAATAGTTTATCAGCTGACAATGAGATTGTCAAATTTTCATGAAACCAATATGGCCGCCTTTTCATTTAAAATGAAAAATGTGCAACTGCTACAATGACATCATTTCCTCCTTCTATACCAAGAGAGATAACTCTTTTTCTTCTTCAACATTTGAATCAATAATTTCTTTTGGAATTTCTAGAATTAATTTATTGCTTTTTGTTTAGTGTTTAAATAATTTCTCTATTTCTTATAAAATATAATTATTTAATATCATTTAATTATTGAAATATATAAAATTCTTATGAAAAAAATTATTTTAAACAGCAATATTGCTGATAATTTTATAGTTCAATTTATGAAATCATTAAAAGACCAAAATATTGTACTCATATTCATAACTAAGAAATTCATGCAGTAAAAATTATGTATGAGAATGTGTTTTCATTCATTAAATATTCAAATGTGTTCATGATGAAACTTTAAATTGAGTTAGAATTATATTAGAACATCAGTAATCTGTAGCTTATGATGAGGAAAACATAAAAAAAACATTTTTTAGCATCCCAAATTTGATGTTAATACTTAATATTACAGTATTATGGAGTTAGACTGGCAATCTATGAAGGAGTCACAGCAGAGTAATGGATAGTTGCTCAGATTAAGGAATCAGTGAGCCAAGTTTGAATTCCAGTCAAGGTTATTGCATTTTAATTGCTAATACCCTTGGGAAAGGTATGAATCCATCTCCCCCCCCCCAGCTATGGGTAAAATAGCAAGGCAGACTAGGTCCTATATATGGTGACTTGCCAAGAGTATCAACTTTAGTTTGTAAGACGTGTCCAGTTAAGCGGGCATTGTGCACGTGCCACAGATGAACTTGTGTCATCATTTGTACTCTGGAGGCACCATCATCTGGCAATCGATCACAAAGTTAACCTTTCCAGATAGGATAAAACGTGACACATTGATCCCTAAGGAAGATCTTTTAGGTGCTATGACAGATAGGGAATACTGGAGAGGTGTAGTGAGTTCAATCTCGGCTGAGGCCACAAGATGATGATGATGAGGTCCTATAGCCTTGGTTAGTAACCAGTCTATGAGAAGAGAGATGCTCAACACCAACTGTACAAAAGGAACTGGCATGTCGTTCAGCTTTGAATGTCACCATGAATCACAATTGTGAGATGGAGGCGGCATGGTGACCACAGTGGCACAAAATGCACTAACTAAATAAATGATAATTGTAATTTGTGGCATTTTGGTAAACCTTTGTTTACCAGATGTAAAACCCATGAGATATTTTTTGATATATAGGGAAAAGGGGGTGTATATCATCAGACTTGGTAACCTTCCATTTCAATGCACTTAATTCAGCAGGGAATGTATATTATAGACATGAGCGGATTCTCTGTCCATCACAATTTAATTTAATTACAATAATCATTCTGTTTCTCTTATGCTAAATTAACTAGAAAAAAATTTCTTTCAAATTTTAAAGTTATTTTTCATTTTCATATAAATCATTGTTTAATTAATTTAATATTTAAACAATTAATTTTTTATATGATCAATTTATAAAAAATTCATTCCAACTAAAATGTGAAAAGAAAAATTACTTTTGTCCGATGCACAACTTTGGAAGTGAATTTCTTTCTCTTGTAAAATAAAATTCTGTTTTCTGCCAGGGAACCATAAATACATTGTATATATATAAATATACAACTGAATAAGAGCTCTCCATTTGTCTATACAGATTTTTCCATTGTCCTGTGTTTTTTATTCAAAACTTTAGCTGCTGAGTCATCTTGATTCTTTCATATAAATTCTAATTTCAGGGAAAATGAGTTTGTTATCTTTTAATAGTTTATAGTTTATAAGTAATTTTAAAATTATTATATAATAGTGATGAGGCCTGTTGGTCATTTTATTTTCCGAAATATTCTTGATGTTGTTTAAGCTGTATGACTGCTCTTTGTATTTTCAGGTGAAGGGACCATTCCAATAGATGCTGATTTCACTGAACAAACATGGGATGGAATTCAACGTGGTGAAAGATTGCGCACAATGTCATGTTCAGATAAAATATGTCGCTGGAACGTGGTTGGTTTACAAGGGGCTTTACTTAGTCATTTTGTCGAACCGATATACCTGGAATCTCTGACATTAGGTATGTGCTTGCTTTTTCATTGATTTTTTTTTTTTCTTTTTTTTTTTTTTTTTTTTTTTTTTAACTAAATTACTGTTGAAAATAATAATAGTTAAGACAAGAGTGTGATTTAAGAAAAGAAAAAGAAAAGAAAAAACAGTGTTTGACAATGTTGAAAGATTGTTTAATATTTTCAAACACTGTTTTTTCTTCTTTTTTCTTTTCTTTTTCTTTTCTTAAATCACACTCTTCTCTTAAATTTTGAAAAATATTGGAAGAGTTACATCAATCATTTTGTTTGTTTAATAATAATAATAATATACATCGATGCAGTTGTAGGTCAACCATAGTTGAGATTATAGATTCATTGTGAACACATTGTGATCTTGTCAATGGCTGTATGGAATGTTATATGACAGGACTACATATGCTTTTGAATTCTGAGTTGTCCTGATATTTAATCCATAGCTGGAAGGAGAAGTGATGGAATATTTGCATGGAAGTGAAAGTAACAAACTTGGATGGAATTCAACTTAGTTTGCCTATTTCTCATTCCAAGCTTCTGACCATTATAAATTTTGTTAGAAAGATTGATTAAAAAATTTTTTTTTTTATTTTACTTTAGTTTTTGTATCTTTTGTCTTAGAATAAAATTTTAAAATAATGATATAGAAATCTAGCAAAATAAGGGACAATAGTAAAAAGTTAGATTTTAAATCACAGCCAGGCTTACTGATCTCATTCAACTCTATACACATTCACTCCTTAGTGCTTCTAAACCTGACATTTATTTTATATACATTGTTGAAATAATCATATATCATGACAGTTTTTTTTTCCCCCAAGAACTGCCATGCCACTTTGTGGAATAGACTCCCACGTGGGTGCTTTGAAAAACTCTACAATCTTAATTTCTTAAAGTCAAGAGTGACTTGTTATCTATCCTTCTTATCCTCATACTCTTTGTTTCCTACTGCCTTCTCTTACATTCATATCCTGCACCTCATTCAGTAACCTGCTACCTTAAGTTGCTCTCAAGCCTTGTATTATGTGAACTTTAAACAAAGCAAAAAAAAAATAAGAAAAGATTTAATGATACATGTAAAAATCAAATGCAGATAATTTTGTGTTACACATACAAAGGCAATAAATCATAAATCTTTCTAGGAATGCTGAACAAGCTGATCTGATTCAAGTAATAGCTTCAGCATTATAAGCAGGTACATTGTCCTGCAAAAAAAAATGGTGAGGAAATGTGCAAAAAGATCTTCCTTTTCTACAGCTTTTTTCATCATTTTTCTTTCAACACCTTTTTAATAGGCACAGCAAATTAACATAGTATTTTATTTGACTCTTCTGAAGGTAGTCAATCATCAAAACACTTTCCTTATACCATAAACTTGTGACCATGAATTTCCTTCTGAATTTTTGGTTTTTGATTTCTTTGAACTACTGCCATTGCATGGACAATTCTTTGGTTTCCAGATTATTGGGATGTAACCCTGTTTTATCAACTGTGACACTCATTCTAAAAAAAATATTTAATTGTTGAAAACATTGCAAAATCAACTTTAATGTGTTCACTTGATATTGTTTCTGGTTAGAATTCAAACATTTTGGCCCCCAATTGATTGACTGTTTCTGCATACCCAGCTACTCATGAATTTTAAACTCAATATGTTTTCTGAAATGTTATGAATGTGATCAACAATTTTAGGAGTGAACACAGTTGAAGAGCAAGTTACAGCTAGGGTCTGAAAATTATTAAAATTGCTGAAAGTAGGCACACCATTTCTTCATAATTGATTTAGATGATCACTTGTCATTCAATGTTTGCACTTATGGATTTCCTTTAGAATTTTCTTCTGTAGCAACAAAAAAAATCATGATGGCCCAAAATTCAACACTTGGAAATTTCACACTTTCCATTGACATAGGTTAGTCAATGATCTGAAGCAAATTCAAATATAAGTGCAAGGATCCTGAAAATTGGCACTTGACAGTATAAAAAAACACTCTTTCCAGCTACAGTGACAAAATAACAGTTAAATTTTTGAAAGTGGGTCAGATTGAGAGCTATTCAGTACTCCTCCTGAAACAAATCCTGAAACAATTTTTCTCAGAAGCACTTTAATATCATTTGATTTATAACTTTATAGTCTTCTTAAGAGCACATATTGCACTTAAAAAAAGGAAAGATAAAAACTTCTTAAAGAACTCTGTGGGTTTCCCAAAAGAGAATATTTATATTGCTTGCACTCTCAAGTTGTCATCCCTAGCCTTCTCTTATACCCAATGCCCAATGTTTGGGGGGGGGGGGGGTTTGCATTGCTTAAAAACTGTTACTGAACAATTTATTAAAGTAGAAATAATTGCAAAAGAAAATGTTTCAGAAATAATAAACACAATCAGAAGTGAAAAATGTTTTCATTTTATATTTTGTAACAGTAAAAGAAATCATAAAATTCTTCAATCCTGAAAAATCAGTTGAGTGATTTAAAGTTAGAAATTGACACAAAATATATCTCTCCTTAATTTATTTCAGGTTATCTTTATGATCATGGCCACCTAGCACGTGCAGTTTGCTGCCGGATTGAACGGGGAGAAGCGTCTGTCAACCAACTTTTGCCTGAGGGCTACCGATTGAACCATCCTTGGCTTGGCAGAGTTACTGCTTGCGATCCGCCTAGAGAAACCCAAAAGACAAAATCTTTGAGTATCAATTGGTGCTATGATGATGAAAAGTCTGAAGTTCTCGATGGTACAGCAGGGATCTGTTACACAGCGTAAGTAATTGGTCTTTTCTTTTTTGATAATTTAACGAGAGCACGAGGTTTTACTCCCTTGACTTGATGAAAATGAAGATTGATATTTGGCTATTTAATTTAAATTTTTAGAACGATTCTTATTTTATGATTTAAAAAATAATGATGTATTATTTTTTTTTTTTCTTCTTCATTTAATATTTGCATTACCGTTGCTTACCATATAGAAGATACACCATTGGGAAATTGGTATTTAGTTTGGAATTATATAACTGAGAATATCTTAACAGTAGAGCATTGGTGTTTTGGTTTAGTCATTGGTGCCAAATGAAACATTTTAACTATAAAATTCTTTACAAAATTCAAAACTCTTATTCTCATCTTTTATAAATGATGAATCTCTGTAAACAGAGGACATGCTTGATCATTTTTCAAAGAATTTCTTTCTGTTTCTCTATTGGAGTTGAGATTTTCAACATTTCATTTTGTAAAGTTCTGATTTTTACTTAAATATGATATTGATGATCTCAGCTGTAATACTCAAGTAAAAATTTGCCTAAATGCTTTAAGCACTGAGATGAATATTTTGCAAAATCATTTAGGGCACTAATATTCATGTTCCTTCCAGCTATTTTCTAAATATGCTCAATACAATATACCAGCAGAAATAATTTATTCTGTCTCTAATGAAAAAATATTACAATGTTGATTTTTTTTCTTATACATACTTTAAAAAAAAAAATTCACCACCCTACTCTCAAAAAACAATGTATGTATCAAGATGCCTCCATTTATTAATATGGATTTAGAAATCAGTTAGTTTTACATATTCTACTTCAGCTTCAGCAGACAACCTAGTCAACTCTTCATAGGCCAATCATCAGAGTGTTTTAAGGTGGGGAAACATGACTGAGAATTTGTGCACTAAAATTAGTTCACGTCATTTTCACAGAGGGGAGGAATTATTTTTCTTGATTGTGTTTGAATGAGTTGTTTATCGAATTTTTCATAACATATTAAAAATTGATTTACTTTTAGTAAAAATGATTATAAAATTTATTGTTTTCAGAAGAGTTTGTGGAAACATAAATTAGTTTTCTCTCATTTGTTTATTTGTTTTTATAATTTTCTGTATTTGAATAATTTTAAATAGTCAGTGTTTGATTTCATTAATATGAAAAAAATCTTCTATATGGTAAGCAATTTGATTTTATATTTTTTTATATTTAAAATAAATTCACAAGAGTGCATTTTAAATTTTTTTTCACTTGTTTTTTCATCTAATACAAACCCAATTTATATACTTGATTAAGTTGAAAAATTGAATTCGGATTTAGTTTTGATTACATATTTTCAATATTTAACTTAGATACTTAAATACTTTGGTTTTCTGTTAATTTTTATTGGTTTAATTTTCTTGAAGTTGAGCCATTATTTTTGATCTTGTTGCTTAGTGACAAAAATTTACTAAAAACCTGATCGTAATAGCTTTGGGTGGAACTTGTAATTGCTAATGATATTTCATCCTACATACATGAGTAATTTGTTAATTTTCTTGAACATAAAACAGATTTGTTTAAATAATACCATAATTTTAGTGCATTTCCCTTCTGTACATGAAATAAATAAACATGAAAAGTAATTCTTAAAGGCTTTGTTATTTAATCTTAGTCTGATAAAAAATGGATGAAAAGATTCTTTTTTTTTTTAACTTTTATGAAAATTTGTATTTTTATTTATACTTTTTTTTTTCAATTAATTTTAATTAATATTATTGAAATGTTTTCTTTTATATCTTCAATTTGCAATGCTACAAATATTAATGTTAAATCTTAATAGAGATGATCATTCTATTTATAAATCCATGATAATGATTAAACATTTTTCTATTTTTTTATTTCCCTTTTATTTCTTGCAGGATTGAGAAAAATCTCTTCTCTCGCTTAACAAAACACAGCTTATATGAAGAGTTCAAGAAAGTGTGTCAGAAATTTGAACGTGAGGACTTACTCAATGTCACTTCTTACAACAAAGCCAAGATGATGGCCATTCCTTTCCAGACTGCCAAAAATGTAATGTTGAAAAAACTCAAGGAAAACAACTGTGGAACTTGGGTATCAAAGCCCATTGAAGAGGAGATGTTTACGTAGATGTCTGCTGCTATAATATCTATATAGTACATAAATACAAAAACAACTATTATAAATGTTACAACTATGACTGTCACTATCAGGTTGTTGTAACTCATAGAACATATTTAGAAAAAAAAAAATATTCCCATTTTCTTTTCTTCTTTCCCATTTCCCATTGTCTGCAGCAAAACAGCTGTTTTGCTAAATTTGTGTTTGCCAGTATTTAAAAAAAAAAAAAAGACAAATTCTTAGCATTATCGTCATTCCAAGGGGAGACAGTGCAAAACCTAGCACAGTTCTTTAGTTTTGACTTCCATAGCTTTTGATGTCTTCAATGGCATTCTTTAGAATAACTTGTTGCTGTGCTTTCTTATGATGACCACGGGGAGACATAACTGAATGAGGACGCTTTCAGAAGTGGGGGGGGGAAAAAGGAATAATCTTTGCAGCCATTTACAAGGCAACTGCTTCACTCACCTGCAGTTGGACTCTGGCTTTCCAGATTTTTTGTAAGAGTCCAGAAGATTTGTTACTTACAGTCAATATAGATTTTTACAAAATAATTGTTCCTACTCCTATCAAAAGGAATCATCACCATTATTTTTATCTGTTTGAGTTTTTTTTTTTTTTTTTTTTTTTGCAATGTCAAATAATTGTCAAGTAGAGTTAGAAACACAAATCCCACCCTACAAAAAAAACAGCTTCACCCACCAATCATGTTCCTTCAAATTTTCCCCCCTTTAAATCATAACAAAAAGAAGAAAAAAAGTAGATTTCCAGATGATGTAATTATGTATAAAGTGGTGAGGGTGAATATTTATTTACATATAATTTTAAAAATTTTCTTTTTCTTCCATACCTATTGTTCAAAATGTACTACAAAATACTCAGTTAATCCTTCAAGCCAAAATGGTGGGGATTATGTTTAAGTTTCTTTCTCTCTCTCTCTCTCTTTTTTCTACAAATAATCAAAATATCTTCCTTACCCACCTATATTGTTCTTAGTACCAGTTATTAGGTTGATTTTGTACAATATACCAATGTCTAGTAGATATATTTTTTGCTCTATTCTGTGCTTAGTCTTGGAGAGAGATAGAAAAAAAAAAAAACAATGATTTTGAAAATATCAGAAAAATGTTGTATTTCTCTGTCGCAATGGCAGCTTATCCAAAACATATATTGCCCTGCACTATAAGTGATTGTTGATTTCAGGTTGTCTTTTATATATATATATATATATATATATATATATATATATATATATATATATATATATTTTTCTTTTCTTTTCTCTAAATTACTACATATCATAATAATAACGATGATGACAATAATTTTAAATGAGCTGCTTGCTTTTTAATTTTTCTGTACTTCTTACATGATAGTTGTTGTTGCTGTTGTTGTCATTGTGAAAAGTAGAATTTTGTATTGAACATTTTTCATGTTTTTTTTATTCATAATTTGTCATCCGGGAGTACTGGGATCTCAGCAAAGCTGAGGCCTGCTTTTTTCCTTTTAACTTGGTAGAAGTTTCACTGTATTTTAGAATTTACAAAAAAATAACAAATGAAAAGAAATTCTTTTGAGGCCATATTTTCAAATGGTGCTAGATATACTTAGGCTTTTTGCTATAGTATCTGAAACCAAAAACAACAAAAAAAATACAAAAAAAATATATTTCCAACACTGTATAGACTTGTTTCAACCTTTAAACTTTGGAAGTTCTTCAAAATGACTGATAGGTTATTGTTGCACATTGCAACCACTGGATTATATTGACTTCTGTGAAATATGTAAATTTTTTTGATTAAGTCAGAAGCTGAGCATTTTTTTATTGTACTCCAGATGTACTTGCCAAAGAACAAAAGTTTGAGATCACTGGAAGAGAAACAAACCAGACATTCATTTTTCCTTCAAATTCTGGAAATATCATTTACAGTTATGTCTCCTTTCATCATGAATTTCACTTTCTCCTGCTATTTAAAAAAAAGATTCTTCAGCATAAAATGAAGAAAAATAACCTTGTTATTACAAGGGGGATTTTGTGTAATGCAGACAGTTGTATGAGTCATAAAGAAACTGTACAACGACAGAAATCTATTCGGTGAAACTTTATTAAAAAAAAAAAAAAGAAAAAAAGAAAAAACAGCAACCCTACCCCTTCAAAAAAAACAAATGCCCAAACTCCATAATCTGTGTTTTAAGTGCAAAACTGGGATGAAGTACAGCCTGTTGGAGACTTTTGGAACCCACAATTTATGCAGGGCCTCTGCCACAGCTAAAACACTCAGTCATACCCACAGTTTCATCACCAGGTTATTGAATATAATTTTTTTTTATTATTATTATTATTCATATAATTGTGCTTAACTTTCCACATTTTTAACTGAACCCCTGTATTTGTGGACATACTCCTGAATCAAGGAGAAACTACATGGACAGATTTGATTATGAGTTCTTTTCATTTGTTTTATTTATATATATATATATATATATATATATATATAAAGAGAGAGACCTGCACACAGTATAAGAAATTTTTTTCAGTGATTCTCTTATTCTCATCATTTTTTTTTAAATTGTTGTTAGTGAAATCATGATATGTGACTGCAGTAGTAAGTCTAGATTTAAAACATTTAGGCTCACGCACTAAGTTCCTGCTAATCTAAAACTGTCTAGAAATGTTCATCATTCATCATTCCTCATTGCATGTCAACCGTTTCCTTTCCTTGAAGGCTAACTTAAATTGCATGTTAGAAGCTTTCATAAAGGTTAACAGTCATGACAAAACTTTAGAAAAAATGCATGTTAGTAAGCTGTTTTGCTTCACAAAAAAATTAATTTGCAGTCAAAACTTATGCCACATATCAGTTGACCATCATGATTTGAATTTTTTTCTATGGAGACTTTTCTTATTGATGGTGGCTAATAGATATTTGGTAAACTGTATCATCTCAAGTAGTATTTGTTAATCTGCGTGCTAGGTTTCTCTTTTCTTCTTTTTATACGTGTTAAAAAAACAAAGTTTAAAGCAAATTATTCAATAACCAATCACATCCTTTTGAAGCAAAAAAATCTCAAGGAATTTTTAACAACAAACAAAAATTTCTTAATTTTTTTTTAAAGATTCAACTACTATATATTAGCAGTGACATAATGTTGGCACTTTTTTTAAAAAAAAAAAAATAGAATAATAACCAAAGGGATTTTCTATTTATGCAATATTTTTATTAATTCTATCAAGCACACTAATTATTTTTTAAAAAAAATGCTAATTATTTATATCTCCCATTAATTATGAGAGATAATCTTTTTAAAAAATCCATTTTAAGTTTTAACTCACTTTCCATAATCTCATCAGGACTTACCTGGGAAAAAATGAGAAAAATGAAGAATATAAAATTTCTGTTGAATGGAATCATTTTTGGAACCAAACTGTCTATAAACTAAAATGGTCTTTGATTTCTTTTTTCTGTTACTATCTGCATTACACTCACTGGTTGGCAACTACAATTGAGTTCTGTGTTGATGCATCAATCTCTGGGGACTCATTCCATTCTTTCCCTCCCCAAAACAATAATCCCTCTTGTCTTATAATTCTTGTGGCTGTGCATAATACCATCTTTTATCACTCTCTTACTCTCTCACTCTCTCAATTGTATGTGTTCTTTGAATTGCAGGATCAGTGACAACAACCCCCTTTTAAAAAAAAAAACACCTGTAACATTGCTTTCTATATACATATATATTTATAATATATATATATATATATGTGTGTGTGTGTGTGTGTGTGTGTGTGTGTGTGTGTATGTATGTATAAATCTGCTATGCTTGCTGGAGGAAACTATTTGAAAAAAATTAAAAATGAAGAAGCCTATGGACATACAAAAGCTTCTTTTGTGGACTATTAAATGCCAAAAAAAAATTCATTGTCAACTGTGTTATTAATGTTGACAGTCCAAGCTGTCATCCTCTTCATCTAAAATTATAGCTCATTGTAATATTGTCAACCAGTGTTTAATGAAAGGTCTTATGCCTGTCTCTGCCTTGATTTATAGAAACTAATTTATTTGACACAGAAAAAAAACTGTTAATTCAATTTTCATTACTACTGCTGGCTTAAAAGAAAAAAGGAGGAGGGGAGAGTTAATATGCTTGATGTTTGTGTTTTTTCAAATCCTTGAGAAAACAATAATTAGTGTAAAGAAAACACTAATTGCCAAAGGCTCCTTTCACTTCTAGTATTTAACATTTCAAATTTGTCCAAATACATTTTTGTATTCCTTCTTTTATTCATTTCTAATGCATTTTTACATTTCATCTGTTTGCATATCTAGATGATAGAAAGTACAATTGCATTCTGGTAATTATGCTCACTTCCTGTTGAGTTCCCATCTCATTTTGAGGTACTTTGAGCAGTGTACTTTTGCCTCTCTATTTTTGTTTCTGTTGTTTTTGTTTGGTCTCATTTTTTTCTTACTTTCTCCTCTCATTTCAGTCCTGCATTAACATGTGCAGCTTTTTTCCGTGATGTGTTACGTGATTATATAAGGTGTACCAACTGATATATTATCATCCTCTTGCACAATGTTTCTCATGAACTTTTATCAGATTCATCCAAAGATTAATTACAGTTAGGACTTGCTTATATATCTGTACACATGTATCTTTTCCGACCTCTCTTTTTGGATCAAATTCTTCCTGAATCATATTTTTTCCTTTATCCCTTTGTCCTCTAACCCACCCACTATCTATACATGCGAATGTGCTGAGGTTAAATAATCGTCATATCTCAAAACAGAACAAAAAAATAAAAAAAAATTAAAAAAAACAAAAAAATCATGTCTTTGTCTTATAAAAAAAAAAGTTGGTAATAAATCTGGTGGCAGTAAAAGATATCTTTACTTGATTAGATTGTTATGCAAATAATTTTCACTTTTTACAAATCCCCCTCTTCCTCTGTTCATAATCTACTACAAGAGTCTTGAACTTACCATTAATAATCCTATCTAGAGTGTATGTAGACCCTCTCCCCAACCGTTCTTCTCTCCCAATCCATGTGGACAATTTTGTTAGATAGTTCCATAATAGAAAAGCAATCAACATTTGACCATTCACACTTCCTAGTCATGTTCACACACTCAGTTGCACACTTCTCTATTCTATATACATAATTCCACCATAAGACAATGTTTCCCTTGCTGTATTTAGTGATAGTATACTGTGCACAACTTGATACAAACAAAATTGGTAACAATGTTTTTATCTTCTATTTCTTCCCCCTTTTATCTTCTTGGTTCACCTGCAAAATTCCTTTTAAACTCTGTCAATCCCACCCCTTTTCCATTCCTCTCTGAAATTTTCCCCTTGCATGCTCCTCCAAAAATCATGAGGGTTTTTTCTTTATAATGCTTGATGTTGTGTGCTAATCTAGTAAGGTCAACATATATCTCTGGTTTTAGGACTCTGTCTACTGTAAATGTCACGGGTGCTGTGTGACAGCAAGATAGCTGGATAACTTGATGTTCTTCTTATCATCCATTCTTTCACTCATTCTCTCTCCCCTCATCTTTCTTGCTTTCTTCTTTTTTCAGGGAAGAAAATGGGGAGAGAAATGAAGAGATTAAAAATGATGAAAAAGAACAAAAAGGACTCCTGAAAATAAATCTATGAAACTGGCTCACATGGTTGGGTTTATTCTCATCCACATCTATTGCCAAACTAAAAATGAATTGAGGAGAACATTGCAGTGTGAAAGCTTTTAAACAAAATGACAACTCATTTCAGATCTGAGGTGGGTAAGATAAAATCCTTGCTTTCACTCTCCTAGACCAATGGATCAGCTAACTGAACTGAAACGTTCTACATGTCAATCTTGGAAATGTTGACAGAAGGTATTGAGGTAATCTAAAAATATTTTTCTTTTGTAACAAAATTTTCACATTGTCTTCTAGCAGGTTTCAAAATGCAAAAAGTTTCACTTTTGTTTAGAATATCACTAGTGTCATATTTAAACAAACACTGGAAGGAACAGTCAAAAGTCTTAGCATACATTTTCCATCATGACATCAGGAAGACAGTCTAAAAGTTGTTCAATCAATTTACAAGATGGTAGCATTATTGATCCAAGTTTTTAATAATAATAAATTTTAGTTTACTTTAATAGAAAAGATGAAATGTTGTTCCTGATATTGAAAAACAAAATTTTGATTTAGAAAGCCAATTTATTAAACTGTTCAAAATGGTAGTTTGAATAAATAAATCTTTTATATATTCCTAAATTTTAGGTGCTTATTTTTAGGTATGAAAAAGATTTAAATAATTTGGGAATTTTGATCCCACTCATTTTTTATTAATATTACTTTAAAAACTAGATATTTATTAGTATTTAAAAAGCAATCTCTCTTGTTTCAATCTATTGTATAATTAATGAAAGTGCTGTATATTTCTGATATTTCAGCATTTTGTTTCTGTCAACAAGACCAAGTTTCAGCTCTATCAGTGAACTTTTTTATCACTCAATCCCTGCTCCTGCAGCAGTTGGTCATTGAAAGATTAACAGTTCATTCATTGTGTTTCTTTTTGCTATTCTTTTCAGTCAGCTTGAGGTTAAATGGAGAATGTTTTCCCTCAGCATTATTGGATTCGCAGGTACTTATTAGTGGATGTTTCTAATCAGGATCTTACTAATATTGGAATGTTGAATTAGAAGGAAGCCTATATTTTATATCTGTCTATATATACGTATATGGATTTCAACCTGTGATAATATTCTTGCACCTGAAACATAAAATGGGTCACTTCAGACGTGGGAATATACTTGGTAATCAATAGTTTGTTCTTTTGTTATTGGTTCCAAAGAAATCAAAGGGAGGGTTTTGGACTGTGAATTTCTATTCTTAAAAAGATTCAACAGACATAAGGATTTTCTTGCTTTAATTTCTGCAATTTGTGACTGTGATGGAAGTGACATGGGACAGCATTTTATGCAAATAAAACAGTAATCAGTGCGTCTCCAATTACTAGTTAACTTTTACTTACACACTTTTATGAACTCTTACACCTCCAGTATTTAACCAACTGCTTTCTTGCCATATATGTGTGTGCATCTGGTTAAGAACACTGAGGAAGATAGCTTTACTAATCTGGTAAAGCCATTGCTTACACTAGCTATCTAATTATGGTTAGTTTGAGTCAAACCAAAGAGCAGCTATTTAAGGCCCTAGTGAGTCTTTCACACCCAATGCAACCTGTTCCTTTGTGTACTTACAAAATACATAATGGAATATTGACTTGCAATAGGTGGCCTAATGTGGCTCATCTGGTAAAGATTGAGATTCTTTAACCTACCATGTTGCTCATTAAACCTGGTTAGTTCAAGAATGGCCAACTAGATTTTGGAAATGTCTTTTATACCCTACACCTATTGTGGTTCATTCTTTTGTGTTCTTATTAAATCCACTATATGCAAGTGGCACACACACACATATATATATTATTTGGGAACTGAAGGTGAGTGGATGATAAGTAAAAAACACACAGGCATACATACATATTATAATCTTGTCTACCTGCTATTAAGTAGTGTTTTGGTGATGATCACCTAAATTTTACTTTAGTGGGACAGACACATAAATATTTATTATTATTATTACTAATACTGCAGAACTGTCACCCAATCAACTTACATTCCTGATAACCATCACTTTTTTATTATCACTGGGCAGATCAACTGGCTTTTGAGTCGGGACTCATCTCATCTACAATGAGGGAGTATGAGAAAAAACCTCTTTGAAGCAGAATTCAAAATGTCTAACCTATTTTTGTTTACAACAAATTGCCAAATTTTAAGAAAAAATATTCAAAAGCTATTGGACAGTGAGAAAAATGTACACAATTTTTTTATATATGACTATGTGTATGTGTGTGCATGTATGTGTCTGTGTATGTATGTGTGTATATATATATATATATGTGTATATATATATATATATATATATATATACACACACAAACACGCACATATACATATAGGCAGTGGCGTCTAAATGTGTGTGTGTGTGTATACATATATATATATATATATATATATATATATATATATATACAGGGGCAGTTCTTTTTTTTAATGAAAAACCAACAAGCAGAGATCAAAACAAATTAGCATGGACATTGCTGTTCTTCCGATTGTTAGAACAACTAAACAATAACCAAGAAGAAATTGTTGATTTCCTATGTGTATTTTGTCTGAAGGGACACTGTTAACAGAATATCTGTAATCTTTTTGTTTAAAAGGAAAAAATAAAATAAAACATCTTTTGCACTCGACATTATGCTACAACGATTTTTCCAATGCGTGTACATAGCTTCTATTTGTTGAAATAATCAGTATGCAGTCAAGTAAAATAACCAGTAGATAATTGGGTGCACCTTGCTCAGCATAATGTTGACCCCCATCCCATGCCACTCTTGTTCTCTCACCTTACTCTTACATCTAAAAATAAATATACAATAATGAATAACTCTTCACTATCACTTCACCTGATTATGTTTGTTTAATTAAAGAAGAATATTCATTCAATGATACTTTTTTCTGAAAAATTAGATTGAATTTTTAATCATTTTTTTTTATTTTTATGTTTTCCTCTGTAATTGGCAGGTTGTTTTCTTTTTTTAAATGACCTTAAATATTGGTATTGTTTCAAGGCACAATCTTGTTCAGTTCTTCGAGAGTTTTCTTTGAAAGCTGTTTAGCTTCCCTATGAAATCAAAAGTTCTGAATTGGTCTTAACTATTATTTGATACTGATGGCTTGAAATCAAAGTAATTAAAAGGTCATTTGGTCCTGCCATATAAAACTTTTTCAGTACTATAAAAAAAAAAAAAAAACCCTAAAGAAGTTATCTGGTGACTGAGCTCTCTAATCTTCTCTCTTGACAAAAAGACAAAAGGTTCATCTTGAATATTTCACTAAAAAACAAAAAAAAATCATACAAATTTCATAAAATGAAAAAAACAAAAAAAAAAACAAGTCAATAAGAGGTGAGAAACAAAATGCTGTTTTCTTACCTGGTGATTTCTTCAAAATTCTTTTATGAAAAAAAAAGTGTTAAAAAAATTCTCTACTTTGATCTATTGCTCATTTAATACATGATCACTCTACCCGACTTCCCCAGCCAGTAGGTAATGTGAACATTGAGCAGTCAGATCTTTTATTTAACACTTTGATCTCACTTCTAGAACCAATTAAATAGATGCCAACTGAATACATTCTTCTTAATAATTTAAATTCTCTATGAATTAGTTGATGTCAGCCATTTTTGTTGGTGGGCGACAGGGCACAACTGCTAAAGACTTTTTGTTGTTCTTCCACTAACCTTAGTTAATTTGGTTTACATTGGCCTGAGAGCAACCATCTTAATCTTGGGCAAGGCTTTTATGATCCACCTCACTCGTGGTCTGTACATTTGAGTACTTGTAAACTCCACCATATCCAAATGGTGTAGGTATCTTGAACAAATGATGGATCTTTTCTGGTACAGAGTTGGAAGAAGCTATTAGTATACAGTCAAATTGTGTGCTTGTAAAATCTGAAAGGTATAAATATCTGCTCGACTTGAAAAACTTGGGATCACATACTGTGTTTTCCTTACGTAAATAGTTGTGCAAAACACAGTATTTGTTTGAGAGAAGGGCAGGTAAGAAATACTAATTAGCAATCAACAAGCCACAAAACTTAGCTCAGCAATAAAGGATTTTTTTAAATATAATTTTGTGCAGAGAGTGTTATTAGTTGGCAGTGGATTCATATTAGCTGAGTATGGTTGTGCTAGATTCAAATATTAAGCAGTACTCTGTATCAAAACTCCTTAAAACTAACTGCAAACATTCCTGGGTGATCAGAATGATTATTGACAATTGCAAGTCACATGATTTTCTCATGGCTTTATTGTAAGATTGCATTCCAATTGAATTGGTAAATCTTCCAATAGTTTCCCTGCATGAATTGAATCTTTTGCATTTGATATTTGTCAATGATTTTTACCTGATTCAGATGGTCTTTTGCTTCTATTGTATTTCATCAAATATAAAACACATGGAATTTACTACATGAGAAATAGAAATCAATTTGATGAAATGCTTTCATACAGGATGTTTTACAACTCCTGTTACAACCAAATTAGTTGACTGAAGGCCATGTAGCATCTCGACTCCAGTGTCCCTAAACTTATATTGGTTCTGCATTATATTATCATGTTATAAATTTCATCCCATAACGCACTTTTCAAGAGACATGATGGAACAATTATCATTTACTAACTCCAACTAAGTATCCAATGATATAATCTGAGGAAGAGCTTTGAAAGTTTTTTCCTTATTTTCTTCTGAACATTGTCCTTCTGACATCCACAACTGGAGCTGCTGATTGATTCTTGAGGATTGAAGGCATGTACATTCTCTTTTATCAAAACGTAGACTATAGTTGCTGTTGGGTTGCCCTAATAAGACCTGTTTAAACACTTCTCAGTATAAATAGAATCACCTTGAGGTTGAATGCAACCCATTTATTCCATGCTATATGCTAGATTGAATTTGGCTTAGGACAACAATTCAACAGTATAAGTATTTGTAGGATGTACAGCATGTCAGTCAGGGCAGATTCATTCTATTTA